ATCGAGGCTGTCACCTAGAGCAGACCTCACGCTCTTAGCCAGAATCGAGGCTGTCACCTAGAGCAGACCTCACACTCTTAGCCAGAATCGAGGCTGTCACCTAGAGCAGACCTCACACTCTTAGCCAGAATCGAGGCTGTCACCTAGAGCAGACCATAAATAAAAAAGAACATCAAGAGTCTATATTTTTTAATTTCGTTATCAGAACAACACATATAATTTAATATATTTCAGCATTTAAAGGACAGTTATAATAATAAAGGGGGTCTATAGGTCAAAACATCCTGGGATGAAACAGAGTGACATGATGATTTGAACACAAGTGATGCACATTCCTGCAGGAGGTCAGTGCTGTGTGTCCCCGTGAGTGACTGGAATTTCCATCGGTCGCAGGGAGGCTGGAAAAGGCCACCAGAGTGGAAAATGGAAACTGTATAACAAATGCCGGAAATGCAAAGAGAAGGAGTTGTGCCTGGACAGGAAGCTGCCATCCCATGAAATTGCCCACAATGCCTTGCAGTCAAAAATCTGTGCTTCAGTCCGGAAATAATCCTTTCACTGTTAGGTTTCTGACGAAGGCTTTTAACCCCAAAAGCCACTCAAGGGACACTAGATAAACGGCTCACCCAGTGCTCTGATCCCCAGTTTCCTGCTCATCCACATTTCTCATGGAGAGCAGAAAGGAAAGTGTGAAAAGACAAAGAATTCCTAAGTACCTGTACTTGTATAATTAAAGTATCATAAAAGTGAAGTATCATGTAACTGGGAAGTATCATAAGAGTATTATAACTTTTCTTAAAAACACACACACACACACACACACACACACCTTAATAAGAAGCACTGTGTCATGCTCAGTTTTAGCTATGCACCTCCCCAAGTTCAACTGGTCATTCAACTGCGGGGGGGGGAGGGTATGGTTCTCCTCGGGAACTCTTGAGCCCTGTTGCCAAAGCAGCTCCTCCGCACTGTACAGGGGATGCCTTGGACCATCCCTTTAAACACTCCATCGATCTGCCGGCTCCGCTAGCAGCTGCCAGCTGTTGCTCAAACTTTACCACTAATCCCTTGGCCAATAACAGCCCTCCTCTCAGTGAACAGCAAACTCGCGCCAAGCCCTCAGGGTCAGCCTGAGCGGTGCTGTCCATCCAAATTTTAGGGGGTTTCATAAACTTGCTGAGATTTCTTAATAATTAGGCTTGAAAAAGATAAATTACTTTGGCTTCCAGCTGCAAAATACTGTCCAAGGCCGTTAATAACAGTACCATCCAGAGTGATGGGAAACGTTCTGATTAATGATTACGGGAAAGCAGCTGTGCCCCGTTCCCTGAGATGGAAGCCATTATCACACGGAGATACTTTCTACAAAACACTGACCAGTTGGAAGTTTCCTTATCTGTGCCCTGCAGAGCGTTTCAGTAAAGTGCTTCGTTGTTCTTAGTCTGGTGGTGAGCTTGTTTTGCACGCGTTTCACAGAGAACCTCATGTTCCACAAGCGTAACTCAGAAAAACAAAAATGTCCCGTCCGAGCCAAACGTAACAATCCGGTCAATCCAGGCCGAGGCAGTGGTGGGGAGGGAGTGGAGAGACTTGGGGACACATTGCAAACCCAGACCTGAGGCTGAGTGGCTAGAGATTGTGGTTGGGGATGGGGTTTTCTGTGGGGGGTATTGCATAAATACTAACATTTTACTACTACACATATTCTCCATCCATCCACACATTCTGAAACGTTCATCTGGGTCAGGGTCACAGGGCCAGCAGAGACCTCCTGTGTATCTTTGGTCTGGCCTGGGGTGTCTTCCTGGTTGTACATGCCCAAAACAGGAGACACCGTATACAGATGCCTAAATCACCTCAGCTGGCTCCTTTCGATGAGCAGGAATTGCAGCTCTGCTTTGAGCACCTCCCAAATGTCCGATCTCCTTCCTGTCTCTCTAAGGCTGACTCCAGATCCCCTGCAAAGGCGGCTAATTTCTGCCACTCCTATCCACAATCTCATACTACTCAGAGTCTGTGACCATAGGTGACCACAGGAACGTAAATCGACCAGTACATCTGCTTTCAACTCAGATATTACTCACCACAACAGCCTATTAGAAGCACAGATCTGCTTGTCAGTTTCCTGACCCATTCTTCCCTTAAACTCCTCCGCTTAAGGCAGTAACTGACCCCCACCCTGGACTGGGTTATTCACCCTTTCCTGGTTGAGAAGGTGCTGATCCTCATCCCAGCCACTTCACACCTGGCTGCAAAATGCCCCAGTGCATGTTGGAGGTCACAACTCAAATCCAACAGGACTACATCATTTTCTGGGCCAGCCTAGGAACTCCTTGATCTTCCCCTGGAGGAGGTGGGTGGGGAGAGGGAGGTCTGGGCATCCCTGCTTAGACTTGTACCCCTGCAACCCAGATGAGCAAAGGATGGGCCTAAAGTCACCGAACCCCTGCACCCTTGGCTATGCTTAGACATTCTACCCAAAATGATTATGAACAGAATCAGTGAGAAGGGGCAGCCTTTGCAGAGTCCAACACCCATTTGAAACAACTCTGACTTACTTTTGGCAATGCAAAC